CATGACTGATTCTAATTCTCCTAACAAATCTATCTGATGGAGAGGAGGCAGATAGTTTCCCTTAACAGACTTAGAAATTAAGATAGAGACCAACTAACTGATATGTCCAGAATCACTCGATTCAATTCATCAATTCAATTCAACACATGTTTACTGTACTTACACTACATTACATGTACTTAAATGTGTCAAGTACTTTTCTCCATGCATTACAAAGATTAGTGAATAAAACAGAAAAGATCTCTGACCTCTTGGGGCTGACGTTTGGTGACAGGGGTGGAGAGCTAAGCTATAAGCAATAAAAAGTAAAACAGGGTGAAGAGATGGGAATATGGAGAGCTAAGCAAGGAAACAGGCTCCAGATGTAACGGCATGCCCAGGGCAGGCCTCATGTAGAAAAGATATTTGACAAAGACTCAAAGAAGATGGGGGTATTACTGTTATCTGGAAGAATAACATTCTAAGCCGAAAAAATCACCAGAGCAAAAGCCCTTAGGAAAGAGGATTCTGTGTATTCAGAGTAAGGAAGCCAATTTGCTTAAAGCCAAACGAGAAAGGGGACTAGTCTGTGAACAACACATCACAGAAACTCGAGTTATATACTTTAAACAATGACTAAGTAGCATGAAGAAGTCATTGCAAGATTTTGAGTAGAGAAATGATAGACTCTGGGTTTTTTTTAAGATTTTAATTTTTTTAAAAAAATGTTTATTTTTAAGAGGGAGAAAGAAAGAGATGAGCAGGGGAGGGACAGAGAGGGAGGGAGACACAGAACCTGAAGCAGGCTCCAGGCTCTGAGCTATCAGCACAGAGCTCAACATGGGGCTCAAACCCATGAACCAAGAGATCATGACCTGAGCCGAAGTTGGACACTTAACAGACTAGGGCATGCAGGCACCACTTAAGCATTTTACTTTTACACCTGATGTGAGGCTGGAACTTATAACCCTGAGATCAAGAATCACATACTCTACTGACTGAACCAGCCAGGTGCCCCTGACATACTGTTTTAAAATATCACTGGTAGCTGTATTGTGAATAGTCAACAAACCTGAAAGAATAGAGGCAGAGAGACCAGTTAGAGGCTATTACATTAAAAAAGATGAGAATACTTAATTCCATCCATGGGTGACATCAGTGGAGGTGGGAGGAAATGATAAGATTCTAGATATATTTTGAAGGTACAGCCGACAGGATTTACTAAATGATTAAATGCAGAGTCTAAGAGAAAGACTTCAGAGCAATGCCCAAGTTTTGGGTCTAAGCAACTGAAAAGCTAGAGTTGCCATCAGCTGAGATAGGGAACAGATTTTGGGTAGGAGGCTTAGGAGTTCAGTCTTGGAAATGTTCACTTTGAGATGCCTATTAGACATAAAAGTGAAGATATCTAGTAGGCAACTGGATATAAAAATCTGCAGTTCAGAAGGAAGGTCTTTGCTAAATGCCAAGAAACTGAATGACATCATCAAAAAACTTAAGTATAGGGGCACCTGTTGGTTAACTAAGTCGGTTAATTGTCCAACTTCGGTTCAGGTCATGATCTCACAGTTCATGAGGACAAGCCCCATGTCAGGCTCTGAGCTGTCAGCACAGGAGCATGCTTCAAATTTTGTGTCTCCCTGTCTCTCTGCCTCTCCCCTACTCACGCTCTGTCTCTGTCTCTCAAGAATGAAAAAATGTTTAAAAATAAAAAGTAGTAAGTATAGATAAGGACGAGAAGGTAGATCAACCACTAGCCCTTGGGTGCTCCAGATCAGGGAAAAGAAGAAAAAGTAGCAAAGGAGATAGAAGGAGAAAGCAATAAGACAAGAAGAAAACTAAGAGAATGTGAGTAGGTATCCTGGAAGCCAAGTGAATCAAATATAGGACAGCAGAGCAGGGGTGGGGGGCTGGGAGATGAGAGAGATCATCAGCTTTATCAATGGCAGCTAATAAGACAGATGAGGACTGAGAACTGACCACTGAATTAAATAACTCAAAAATTACTGATGACTTTGATGGGAAGAGTATGAGTGGTGAGACTGAAGCAAAGGCCTAAGTGGAATGGGTATAAGAAAGAATAAGAGAGGAATTTAAAAAAGCAAGTATAAATAATTATTTCAAGGAGTTTTCCAGCAAAAGCAAGACAATAAAAGTAGGCAGTGGTTCAGAAGTAGGGGGATAATATGGCGAAAGTAATTAGCTGTTGTTTTTGCTTTTTTTAGGAAAGGAGAAATAATGAAAAGTATATTGCGATAAAAATGATCCAACACAGAGTGAAAATTTGCTGATGTAAGACAAGAAGGGTAGAAGAACTAGAGTGATGTCCCAGAATAGGTGAGACAGGATGGAATCAGATCCAGTGTGCCAGTAGAGAAGTTCCATTTAGAAAACACAATGGTTAGTTCATCTATTGTATGTTAGTCTTGTTTCGGCTTCTCTAACAGAACACCATAAACTGGGTGGCTTATAAGCAACAGAAATTAATTTCTTATAGTTCTAGAGCCTGGGAAGTCCAGGATTAAGGTGCTGATAAATTCAATGTCTAGTGAGAACCTGCTTTCTAGTTCACAGATGGCACCTCTTCACTGTGTCCTCACGTAGCAGAAGGAGTAAAGGAGTTCTTTGGGGTCACTTTATAAGAGCAGTAGCTTTAATCATGAAGGCTCTACCTCCTAATACCCTCACACTGGGCATTAGGTTTCAACATATGACTTCTGAGAAAACACATTTAGTTCATAGCATATGGTAATAGTTAGGCAAGCAAGCTGAGTATGTAGGGGTGTACGTGTTGATGTGTGGACAGATGGGGTAGGGAGAGTCTGTAGAAGTTGTTTTCTTATTCCTTCAACTTGCTTGGTAGAGTAGGAAAGAAGGTCATGAACTAACAGTGAGTACAGAGGAGGAGGTTTGAGAGTTTGAGAAGACATGAGAAAGTGTTCAAGTGGTGTTCTGGGAGAGCAAAAGTATGAATGATGTTCAAAGAGATATTGTGATTGCCAGGCAGCATTACAGGTCCACTTGAGGCTCACGGTGATGAAATAAAAGTGGGATCAGTTGGCAAAGTTATATGTTTTGCCCCATCTATACAAAGTCGTATGGATATGAGCGCAGAGTAGGTGGAGAGCTGAATTTAAACAAGGTTGGGTTTTGCAAGAAAGGGGTAGATACACAATGCATGAACATAATGATAAACCATGGAATTTAAATGGAGTAAGACAAGGGGTATGAAAGGTAAGGGATCAACATACTGGAGGTATTGGTAGGGTCAAAGAATTGTTGAGATAGGGATTCTAGAGGGAGGGAGTTGGAAAGACAGGTAGTAGTGGTCAGTCAGGAAGTGTTATGCTGACGATAGAGATTATGGAGAGAATGCGGTTTTGGTAATGATAATATCCAGGGAAGAGATACTCATCCTTGGCACTACTGACATTTTGGACTTTCTTCTTGGGGGCCATCCTGTGCATTATAGCATGTTTAGCAATATCCATGGCCTCAACCCACTGGATGCCATAAAGCAGCCCTCCATTGGTGACAATCAAAAATATCTCCAGACAATGCAAAATCAACCTGAGTTGAAAACCACTAGTCTAGGGTATGGCTAAGCAACTGAGTGGTTGAGATCACTGGAGGAGAGGTCATGGAACAGACTGTTGAGAGAACTCAAAGAATCACCTATGAGTACACTTGGCAATTGCCAAGAATTAAGATAGGAGTAGTACTAGAAAGAGTGACAGAGGGGAGGAGCCACATGAAGCAGATGTCAGTAGATGACAACGATTAGGTGTGGGAGACAAAATCTGATGAAAAAGCTCAAAGCTGATAACACTATACTTCACCACTATGGTGAGGCTGGTATTAGAACTCAGGCTCTTTTCCTAGGGCTTTTTTAAATGTCTAGAAGGTGGGCAGACTTCTCCACATGATTTCATACTCAATTAGACTCACAGAGTCAAAAATAGGGGTCGGTCAAAAACAATTGGCACCATTTCTAACTGCCATATATAACAAACAGATGAAGGCACATATTTTTGGCTGAAGACCATCCTAAAAATAGGACAGAACATCTTGATTTTTAAAAACCTCTCAATTTTCTTTCTGGCCCTTAAAAGTATTATACTGCCTTTGATTAGAAAGAAACATCTTTTATTAAGTAATTGTGTTTACTACCGAGAAACCATAACCAACACTTTCTATAGATAACCAGTCACCTTTATCTTCACATAGTCTAACCGAGGACAAAAAGATCTTAATATGAAATGAACCGACTGCAATGTTCTCCAACTGTGTGTCACCTGCTCCCCTCACTGCCACCTGGAAAGTCAGCATCTCACCAGATTGCAAGCAGATTTAGAGCAAATGCCCAATTTTCATTCCCACCTCTTAAAAGCATATTCACAATAGAAGTGCCTATTGAAATTAATAGAGGTATCCCCTTTATAGGAGAAATAGCTTTAAGATGACAAAATCAAATTGTATTTGATTGATTGAGGGTAAAATCCTCTCATTTTCAAGTCCCCAAATAGAAAGTTGTTAAAGCTTAATTGTGATGTAATTATTAGGTTTTCACATACTGCTTTTATGATGACCAAGGTATTTTCATATATTAATCCTAAATGGGACATTTTCCTATTAGGAAGAGACAAGATCTTCAGAGTAAAAGCCAGGATTTAAATCTCAAACATTTCGCTCTTATATTACTTAACCTATCTGGTTTCATTTATTATCTTTTAAATGAGGATAATACTACCGTGACAGTTACTATAAAGAAAAAAATGCCCCACAGTATGAACAGCAGAGTTCTAACTCATAGTAGGTGTTCAATGAGTGAACAACAGTCCTCCTATTATGTTGTTAATTGCAACCAAATAAGCACTCATAAAATGGATACAGGCTCTCTCTTCTTGAAAGATCCACAAAACATTTTGATTTTGTTACAATAGATGGTAAAGTCAGACTTACAGCTATTTTAGTCTTTATTTATAATTATATACAAATGAATATAAAAAGCAGCTGCCTACCTTCCAAACTTTCTTGTTCATCCGAAGTATAAGCATCCATCTGACTTTGTTCCCGTAAGAAACGAATAACTGCATAAACTAAGTGCTTGATAGAGGACATTTTAAAGGCTTAAATGCTTTTCCTTGATAAGAAAAGGGAAAACACTGATTTAAGTTATTTTAAAGAATCAGTCAGGAAGGTTATAAATAACAACGGTTATAAATTACATCAAAAGTAAAAAGCAAAAACAAAACCTGCATTACCTTCATTCTTCTTTCTAAAGTCAGGAGAATACAAAGTATTGTTATGATAATATATCACAAATTTTCATTTAGACCTAGTAGTATTAGATTATGTTAAAACTTGCAAAAGTAGAATTTGTCTCAAAACATGTACAACACAAGCTTAGACACTCACTGAATATCTCACTATATCTTAACAGTATATATGGTACAGATAAGGATAAGGACAGGGGTATAGATACATAGGTAGAAATTCCCAAAAGGCCTCAGTACTAAGTTGAGGTAGATTTCATACTGCTGACTCAGAAGCCCATCTACAATGAGAATCTTCCTCTATTTCATGAGATTTTTAAAAATGTATGCATAATTTATGCTGCACCAACTTTTGTAGCCTGAGACTGTTATCTGAGGAGGAAATATATTAAAGTCGTGCAACTACTGAGTGTCATTCTTAATAAAAATGGCATTTCCATTTAATCTAGACATGTCGGAACATCATTGCCTAAGTAGATGGATAGTACACACCGACCAGGGCTCTCTGCAGTAGCTGTGCTCTCGTGGACAAGCTGGAAGCTCCGGGTCATGTTCATTCACATGGAATACTATCGTATCCAAACAGTGGCGCAGGGCCAGCCGGCATTAATGGCTTATTTCCACTAAATCGCATCATCCATCTGTTCCCCAGGTTCCCTAATCCAAAGCCAGGGTGTGGTACCCGCCGCCAGGGTGTTTATTATTTCTAGGCTTATTCTAAAGGCCAGCCCAGTCTTTAGGCCATGGGGTTGCAAGTACTAAATAAGGCCCCAGGGCAGAAGGTGAAAAAAGAATGGGGGATGGAAGGGGAGAGGAAGGGAAACGAAGATATCCAACATCCTCCCTTCTTCTCCCCATAACACATCGACCTCCTTCTTCCTCCCTTCGGTACCCGGGCCTCGTTGCGGCCCAGGCGGGGTTTGCTGCGGGTGTGCGGTGCAGGCCCCACCTGGGGCGGCAGGAGACGCACCCATCCCAGACAGAAGCCCCTTACCAGGCAAGAGGAGGCGAGATGGTCGCAGCGGGCCCGCGGGCGTCCGTAAGCCGGTCCGCCCGTACCCTGGTCCTCTGGGCTTCAGTCTGGCTCCCGATCGCAGCAGCGCCGGCGGTCGCCCAAACTTCCTCTGCTCCCAGGCCGCCGCCGCCCCTCAGCCCACCCGGCAGTGCGCTTTGCTCCTGGCCACTGGGTCTCGCCAGAACCGCCCTCGGGGCGGTGCCAGGAGTGAGGGGCGGGGCGCGAGCCGGGAGGGCGGGGCGCGAGCCGGGGGGCGGGGCCCAAGCCGGGGGGCGGGGCCCAAGTGGGCGCCGGCGTGGTGCTGCCGCACGTGGGAGGGCGCGGGCAGGCTGGCCGCCACCGCCGCTGTTGCCTCCTCAGCTAGGCCGCCTCTTGGCTCCCCGGCGTCCCGCCTCCCTCAGCCGCAAACCGGAGGACAACGCGCCCGCCGCCGCCGCCGCCTCTCGGCGCTCCCATGATCTCCCGGTGCCTTTCGGCTGTGCGAGGCCTCCACAGGTACCTCCGGTGCGCGGGTTAACCTTGACGGTGGGCCGGGCGTTGTCTTCTGTCCTGTCGGTGCAGGTGTCTGTGCTCAGGCTTTCCCGAGCGCACCCCTCCGCCGCTCCTGGGACCCTCCCTCCCCGCAGCCCTCATGCTCTACCCTGAGGGACACCTGGCGCGGGAACTTGGGGCCACCTTTCCCTTCTCCGCTCCCTCGGGAGGGCATCCATTCCCCTTTGTTTGGGACTGCCTCAGCTGCAGTCAGCGAGACTGGTCACAGGCCTGGCCCAAAATGAATGCAGAAAGATGGTTCGGATAAGAAAATCATTTGACTTCCGCCCCGCCCCCCTTCCAGAACTGCAGACCTCTTATTAAAAGTGCCGGCGGCTGTAGACTCAGGCACAGCGATTTTAATTTGCCCCTCACGCACATCATTAGCATACAAATCGTTTAACGTCCGTGCAAGATGAAACTGCCGTGGTTTTGCGGCTTTTCTCCGTCCACGCTTTCTAATCTTTTTATTGACCTCTTCCCCATAAAACATTCGGCCTCTTGCTGGGGCAAATTGACTTGGCCCAAAATGGAGGAAATTATTGCTTGGACACGGTTTGGGGCAGCCTCAGCTGCTATTTTGGATAGCTTCTAGCTCCCAAGCCACACCCCTCTACAACAGACCAGTAGCAAGATGGTGAGAGAATTAAATTCTTTGCATGGATGCGCTAGATAGAGTGGTTTTCAGAAACAATGCCTCTACCACCCCCATTCCCAAATCCAGTCTGAACTGTACATGCTAATGAAGATCCAACAGAAAAAAGGAAATGTAGGTTTCTTGCTAGATACTTACAAAACTACTTTGGAAAATGTCCAGCATTTTAGCTTTTTAACAGTTTTCTGTTGTACGTGAACACTCATCTGTGCGGAGCTTTGTGTTTGCACAGACCGTATACTGAAGGTGCATCCAAGGGACAGTAGTAATTATAAAGAGTTAATGGGATGGTTTTGACCATATTTCACACCGTCGTTTTAGTCTGCAGGCTGCAAGTGATACTGCTTCAAATGCAGCTATACCAACCAGTGAAGATACTCACATAATGCAGGTGTGAGAAGAGAGAAAAATACTAAGACACCAGTTTTCATCTTTTTTAGTCCCAAGACAAAAACTTGTGAAGACCTAAGAGCTTTTGTTTTTGTGGGTTATGCTAGATCTGTCCATATTTACCATATTAGAAATGAAAACTAGGGAATTCTTAAAGTATTTATTAATTTATAAAACAGTAACAAACTCATTACATGCACGAATAACATTGTTAGTGAAAAGTAACTATTTTCCAAAACTCCCCCAAAAACGTCGGTAAGAAGAGTAGACTTGTGGGGTTTTTTTCCTTTTCTTCAGCTTTTTTTATTGTTGTAAAATATATGTAACTTAACATTGGGCATTTTAATTATTTTTAAGTGCACAATTCAGTGGCATTAAGAACTTAAACATTTTGGGCAAGCATTACCATTATCCATCCCCAGATCTTTTTCATCATCCCAAGTGAAACTCTGTACCCACTAAATAGTAACTCCTCATTTTCTTCTTTCCCATCCCTGGTAACCACTCTTCTTTCTGTCTCGATGAATTTTTCTTTTTTAGGTACCTCATATAAATGGAATCATCAAGTATTTGTGACCGCCTTATTTGAGTTACCATAATGTTTCTAAGTTTCCATGTACCACATTTGTTTGTCGTCTGTGAACATTTGGGCTGTTTCCATCTTTTGGCTATGTGTGACTTAATAAAAAATAGCTGAATTCTTACATCTGCTTCTGCATTTTATATGTTACACTGTTTTAGTTTTAAGAAGATGAAAAAAATTCCACCTATCATATGTACTTGAAAAAATTACTTTTTAAAAATATTTATTTATTTGTGAGAGAGAGTGAATGGGGGAGGGGCGAGAGAGAAGGAAAGAGGGAATCCCAAGCAGGCCCCGCACTGTCAGTGCAGAACCCGACATGGGGCTTGAGCCCACGAACCGTGAGATCATGACCTGAGCTGAAACCAAGAGTCAGACACTTAAAATGCCAGAGCCACCCAGGTGCCCCTAAAACTACTTTTTAAAAGTAATCATGGATATGCATTATTTCATATCAAAGTTTGATAAGCGGTAGTTTTTTAAGATTAGTTGCAATGCAGAATATGAAACTATCAATGTACTTTTCTTATTCTGTTACATAAAAATCCATGTGTCTATGTTAGATTTTAATTTGTATCTTTTACCCATAATGATTTTCGAGTATCAAACATTGGTTTTTTGGAAAATAGCAGTTCACTCTGTTATACAGATCTTCCTAATGTTGATATATTACATTATACAATATCAAATAATATTCCCTAATATCATCATCCATCTCATCACAAATGTCTTAAAGTATTAGGAAGCTAGCAAGTTCACCATGGCAGATACAATTTTTCAAAATTTAAACTTTAATTTGAAAGTTGAAATTTTATCATTGGTAACAAATACTGTCAGTTCCTTGAAGTGACAGGCTCACTTTGTTACCTTTTTTGAGAGAATTTCTGCCGAATACTTGAGTCTGATTAACCATAGTTTGTCACTCATCTTTTCAAACACAAACAGTGTTCCAAGTTAGAAAAGCAACTATTTCAGCTCACAACTTAATCATTTGCACAGGTGCTTCGGGTTTGGGCAACCAGATCTTATGGATAGCCATTGTACTCAAGTATATGCTTTATGCATACATTGCCACACATCTACATTCAGTGATTGAGATTTAATAAAATTAAATATTTTACTGTTTCATAAAAGTAAAATTGACATTAATTTTTAGCATGAGTGGTTGTAGAGTATGACTGTAAGACATTTTAGTGCAACTGCCTTGATTTGTTCTAAGGTGCCAATTATTTTATCTACCTTTGCTTCTTACCATCAGTACAAATGTTGACTAAGTGAAAAAAAAAGTTAATATCATAGTATTATCATGAAATACTTTCAACCTCACAGATGACTTGAAATGGTCTCAAGAACCCCTCTCTATATTCCCATCCCCAAGGATTGCAAACCACATTTTGAGAACCACTGGTAGGTGTGACTCAGATTCTTTTTTTTTTTTTTTTAAGTTTATTTATTTATTTTGAGATAGAGAAACAGAGGCGTGGGAGCAGGGGAGGGGCAGAGCTAGAGGGAAAGAGAGAATCCCAAGTGGGCTCCACACGGAGCCCAAAAAGAAGCTTGAACCCATGAACCATGAGATCATGACCTGAGCTGAAACCAAGAGTCAGACACTTAACTGACTAAGCCACCCAGGTCCTCCTTATTACTCAGATTCTTTGTTTATGCATGGAAGAAAATAAATATATAGAAAGCCATGCAATTATTTTGTTAGAGGTGATAATCAGAGGTGCGTGAGTGGCTCAGTCAGTTACCTGTCCGATTCTTGATCTTGACTCAGGGTATGATCTCACAATTTTTGAGTTCATGCCCCACTATGGGCTCTGTGCTGATAGTGCAGAGCCTGCTTAGATACTCTCTCCTTCACTTTCTCTGCCTCCCCCCCACTCAAGTGTTCTTCCCCCACTCTCTCTCTCCCTCAAAATAAATAAATAACTTTTTTTATTTTATTTTTTATAAACTGTTTTTAAAAAGCTGGTAATCAACTAAGTATACCGACTATTTTATTACTTAACAAGATAATATAAACAACATATACAGTAGTAGTCATTAATTTACGACACTTGTGAGTGACTTCATTACAGAATCTTTGTTTCTAACTGTATCCTCCAAAAACAGTCAATACTAGGCAACATGGGAGGCCTCTGTATTCTCTTGATAGAATTTTCCTAATTTCTTCTGACACTTGGGAGTTCATTTTAGTGTTTTAAAGTAACCAGGTTTTTATTTACTGACTTATTATTTCTCTTGTGTTTTCCTGTTGGCAGAGCTGCTGTATATCCTCTTCCCAAAGCCCTTTGAACAGCCAGGATCATCGATGGGATACTAGGCTAATTTCTTGGGAATGGGGGGACCAAGAATCTGACGACTGGTTGTGCTTGCTGTTGAGATAACCTGTGACCTTAAGTATATCACTCATTATCTTGGCTCTCTCTCAAATCCCTTATTTTGTAAAATGAAAAGGACTAGACAAAATGATACCTAAGATTTCTTTCAACTTCTGTTGCCATAGCAATTAAACCAGGAGAATTTCCCTTCCTACCTCATCCAGACTGCATAGGATTTGAGCCAAGCAAAATCTAATGTACACTATAGAGTGAGGGATGGATGGCATAATCAAGAAAACAGATGAGAAAGATGACTCAACAGTGTTTAGCCCAGATTATATCTATAATGACCCTACTTTCCTCATTCCTTGGTTTTAAAAATTATGACAGCATGTTCACTGTGGAAAACCAGAAAATATTGACAAGTGAAAGAAACAAGTATACCAATCCAGAAGAACCAAGTGTTAACAGCTTCCAAAATCTTTTCTACATATAGACTTTTTTTAAAAACAAATATATTATACTGTTTTTATTGTAAGTTTTATATACTATAGACATTCTTCCATAATATAAACAGTTACAATACAGTCCTTTTGGAACTGTATGACAGTTAATCCCTACTTTTGGCTATAACTATCCCCAACTTCTTGCTGAGTAATAGTGCTTAGAT